TAATCTTCTAGATTGCCTACATACTCTAACATGCGTCAAGTGGCTCAACCAGCAATGGATTCATAATGCTGAGGAGATGCTGGCACATGCTCAGCTCCTATACGCAGGATGGATACAGCCAAGGTAGATTTGGCTTGTTCAGTTCTTCAGGAACCTCTCGTAGGGACCTATCATTCTCCACAGTTGTCTGGGGCATTACAAAATAGTACCAGTGGTGCAAACATTCTCACCTCCATCATGCAAATATAACCAACCCCCCATATACACCAGCAGTAGACAGACAGACAGACAAAGGTCTTTCTCAGCATGACCTCAACAAGTGCAAAGGCAGATGAGTAAGATGTGGATAACCAGAAATCCAGGGGCTTGGCATTCAGGTCTCCAGCAATATGGTGCCAATGCAGTGGCACAGAAGGCAGACTCGCGGCAACCAGCAAGGGACTGGGCTGTTGGCTTGTCCCCTTAATTCAGCATAAATTTTTGTAGAAGTAACCAGCTTTTCTGTTTTTACAAGAAAGGATACAGTGCACTGTACTTATCTCCACCATAGAAGCATCTGAATCCATGAAGAAATTTCTCAAGTTATTTGGTGCATTCTCTGAAAACGTTGGTGCTTTTTTAAACATGTTCCAGAAAGTTGCTTGTAGCAGACCTCTGGCCAGCAGTCATCACAGCTGCTTGTAACACCAAAGCACAAGAGACAGAGCAAGACACTGCCAATGCTACCTGCCTTCTCCTATGGAAGCACAGCCTTTAAGAAAAGCGAAAGCTAGCACAAAAATGAGGAAAGACCTGCTCTGTCTGCCGCATCCTTTTGTAGCACTTTGCTACAAAAGCAAAGGCTATTGTTTCAAGGACCAACAGCCCTCATCTTGGTCAGCAACCCCTTTGCAACTGGAAAGAGATTGAGACTAGAAGTAGTGTTTGCTGTATAGTTTTAGCACAGCTGCTTTGCATTATGCTGCTTCCATATCTTCATGCAGGAAGAAAAACAGAGCCCAGGTCTAATCGAGACTGTCAATACCATAGGTAGCACTGTTATGGCCAATAGTTATATGGAACATGGTAGAAATCAGCTAAAAACAGGAGATGAGAAACAAGATGAATGGATATTTCTTTTTATTTGGAATGACAAATGTGTCAAAATAATCTATCTTCACACACATCATCTGATATCAGCTGTTTAGCATAGAACTATTAACTCCTCTTTTCTGCAGGCCCGAGCAAATAATGCAGAAAGTTGCTGGAAAGGCCAAGCTTGGCAGAAAACTGTAGCTTATCTACCTACAATCAACTCATAAAAAAGAGACTATTCTAGTTTGCTCTTCCCCTATGCTATTATGACTATCCTCCACAAGCCAAAAAATAGTGATAGGCAATGGGACACAAAATTTCTCATTACTCTTTTCAGCAGAGAACTTCTGCTTCTATACCCAGAGATCAAAGGATCTATGTCAAATCAGTACAATTTCACTACAGATGCAAAAATCACTGTTGTTACTTTGAATAACACCTCACACCTTTCTCTTCCCCAAATAATATTCAGATATATTTATTATCTGCATGGAATCTTAAATTGTAATCCTACATATTGTATTTCTAGAGTTAAATTGTTGTGCACTATAGGAAACTCTCTTTAAAATTCAAGTGATTCAGGTTTGGTTATCTCAGTACAAAGCAAATTATTCTCATCATTAAAGCCTGCTATGATCAATTTATATTGTCCTCATAAAAAAGTTTTTACAAACTATACAATAATCTGCCTTAATAGTATGTTAATACTCTCTTATAGAATGAAAGATATCACTTTCTCTTACTCATTTCAACTAATCAAACCTAAGTATTCAATTTTTATTTTATATAACCTTTGGTATTTCTGTTGTCAGATAAAAATGGATTTTAGTACTATTTTTTACCAATCTGTATAAAAATAACCTACCGATACATTACAGAACAGAATAAAATGCCTCATTCGACCCTGGAGAAAATAAAAGAGCATCTATGCTTTATGGTAAAAGCAAAGCACATATGCTAAAAAAAATCAGCCCAAGGTGCAGCATTCAGAAAGCATCTATGACCGGTCCTGTTTGCTTGGCATAGTCAGGAAGCCTTCCAATAGAAACCAAGGAGAGGTCAAAGGAGAGCAGAACACTGCTGTTTTCCTATACACTGAATACAAGATGTGTTTTTGTATATATGGAATTTCAGCTTAAAAAAACAGAAGAAGTTGTAGTATATGGAGTATGTAAATCCATTAACAATATATTTCTCAAAAGAATGAATAATGACGAATTTCATGTAAAAAAAATACTGTGCTTTCCTAATAGCAAATAAAGCAAATTAATTCTTTAGCAGACATCACTTCCTAGTAATGGTGACAGGTATCATTTAAAACAGGGTTTTCAGTAACTTGGGTTTCAGCTTTTACATTAGGTAATTTAATATTCCTGACCTGTTTGTATGATATTTTAGCCGTCTACGCAAGAAACTGATAAGGAAGAACATAATTAAAACATTTTATTTTATCAAACAATTAGCTTACACTGAGGGCTTAGATACAGAAGACAGCTTTAAGCATTTTCATATTTAAGCTCCTACCTGGACTTCACTGGGAGTAAACCTGGAACCCCAAATATTACATTTCATGCACACATACACTCTCGGGAACTTTCTATTATTCCAACTTTCTGCCTGCTTTCCAACCTTTTGGCTATTGCTACCTCCCACACACATACTCCCTTCTCAGTAAGGTCTGCAATCAAGGCTTTTTTTTTTTTTTTTTTTTTTAAAAAAAAAACAGAAATCAACAGCCAGTTAGTGCAGTCAGCAGCTGAGAGGGAACCTTGGATAGAAAATGCAAATCTGTAGCTCAGGTAGTATACCTGAGTCATTAGGGAACTATAAAGCTAGTGTCAACATACAGTTTTATTCAGTATCTTTCATGTTGTCATTATTAAGGAGTAGATATTTTTAGCCACCAAAAGCCAAATCCAACTGCAGTAGCAGTGTTTCCACGGAGACAGAATAATTTAAATACATGTGGAACTAAAATCTCAGTTTTCATCCATTCTCTGTTACTGGAGCTGCCTTAAGTCAAATTTCTCATTTCACATGATGGGGGGAGGGGGGGTTGACCGTTGAGTGATTGGAATACATCAGTTTGTATTCCAACATTTTTGATTGTTTCAGATACATACTCATTCCCTACAAATAACAACAAAAAAAAGGAACTAATTCTTTAAGTCAGTAATATTTATCAATGTTTACATTTCAGTATAATACGTTGATATGGAAATATCTTGTCAATCTCTTGAAAAAGGTTTAAATCATTTTTTTTGTAACTCTTAAGATTTTTTGATTGCTTAGCAAATTTATATTAGGCTCTATCTATGAACAGAAAACTGGGGGAAGAGGACACCACTCTCTGCAGCTGGTAACATATAAATAATTGGACAGAAGACAGCTTTTTTTATAACCTCTTTAGTGGTCACAGAGTTTTATCGACCTTTTCCTTTTTTTTAATAGCAATCAAGACTAAGAATTTTGAATCTGCCTAAAGTGAATTCACTCTCAATGAATACAGCAAAAATGATACATACATTTACTGTTTTCAATCTATTAAAATTAACTTCCAATTGCTTAGTAGAATCTAGCTCTATAAACATATTACATGACTACATAATCTCTAACCAGGCAGAGGGCTTATACAGCACTGAAATAAAGGAAAAGTGTAGAAATGGACTGTGGCAATTAAGTAATCCCATCATTGCATTTTAGTGCAAGATAAAAAGGAACTTTCACAATAGAAGTATATAATGGTAGCTTGAGCACCTTCAATACCTCCTTTAAAATAATTGAGATCTGAAATACACCAAAAAAGGTAAACTAAGCCATCAGTAACATGAATCCATGTAACTGACCATTTGACAAAAAAGAGCCAAAAAAAGCTATTAAAGAGGCAACAGTTTTTACCACCAGTCATTTATTTCAAAAAAGACTTCTGCTTCAAACCAGCAGAATAGGGTCCCATGATATGACAATTATTCACTACACAAATAACATGCTGGAATACGCTATAATAGAGAGTTCAGAGATTGAAATCCTTTTTTCAAAAACCTTTTTTCAAAAAGCAATTCCTTCAGTGAGAACAGGACTTCATTCTCCAGTCATATATCCTCATGTAGGCTAATGTGGCTACCTAAATATTCCTCTCCCCTGTATCAAGTTGCTTGATACTTGTCATTCCAGATACTTGTCTAAGAACTAAAATCTACCGAGAACATGCAAACTTGGAAGCATAAGCTTCATACAAATGATTTCAACAGTTTAATAAGTCTGGTATGTAGTTGCTGTAGGTACTACAGGACTTCTCTACATTTATGCACATAATTATACGCAACATCTTTAATGGCAATTTTATGATTGAATTATAAACTACATTCAAATCAACCCAAAAAGTAAACTAAAAACCACAAAAAAACAAACAAACAAAACAAAAAAAAATCACGCTTAAACCTGTGAGTTGTTTTGAGGATCTATTCCCACTGTATATCCAATATTGCAAATACAACACACAAAATTTTAGAAGCATTCAATTTGCAAATCCTTTCTGCAACTAGGCTCAAGGAACACAATTTTAGATACACCTGCCTGGTTTTACAGCTGATACAACTGTACCATTCAACAGATTAAAAAAAAAACCACACACACAAAAGACCTGCTTTCCTATGGCTTACTGAGCAACTTCAACATCAGTGAGATAGAATGCTTATACTGTCACAGGAGAAAGTTCTCACAATCAAGCACATCTATGATTTTACTGTATATGTATGTCAACTAGTTGAAATCGCCTGGAGAGGTGGAATAATAAACTGAGAAGCTGTTTCCAAGTCATGAATGAGACACACACAGCAAAATGCTTTCACATGCATTTTTATAGCCAAGAAATATTGTGGCAAGGACCAAGAACAGCTATTCAGAAAATCATTTTTCTCCCTTACCTGTAGACTGGCTTTCTGTGTTTCAGCTCTGTCAGTGCAGACTGAAAGGTTTACTCCTCCTTTCTCCATCCATCAGGCAACAGTCATCCAATAACTGAAGTCATCCTGGCATCCTCTGGAACATGCTCTCTTTATTTCCCAGTCCCCGCCCCCACCTACATACTAGCAAAAAAAGGAAAACAGCAAGGGGAAGAAAACAGACCTAAATAAATAAATAAAACGCATATCTGAAAAGCAGCTTTGATGAGCTACTCAGTAATCAGTAAGGTTACACTGCACTGGAAGGTAATGACAAGATTTAGACACAGGAAAAAAAGAAATCTCTCTATTAATAACCAGCAGCTCCGCTACTGAATAGCAAATGTTCCCTTCAATGCCAGTTTCCGAGAGAAGGAAAAAAAAAAAAAAAAAGAAAAAAGAAAAAAAAGAAAAATGAAAAGACATACACACATCAACAAAGCAGCTGTACAAGCACATTTAGTGCCTATACACATTCTTTGAGGCTGACTCAGCTATCCATATTTTCAGTGAATAGTGCTGCTGTGTATTTAAGAAATTTAATGATTATCAAAATAACAATGGAGATTTTATACAAAACCAGGATCTGAAATATCAATGTAAGTTAGGGTTATCCAGAGATTGACGACAGTGATTTTCTACTGCCATTCAAATGCAAATTAATACCAATGTAAGGAGTAAAAATAATGGTCACACACTGAGATTTACAGCATGACAAGCTCAAAGGTCAAAATGAAAAGGAAGGTAAGAATTTGGATCATATGTGGCTTTGATTTCTATCAAATTGCAACTGTATTTCATTCTTTTTAACTTACACATTCTCTAAGATTAGCTAAATGCATTTTCTTTTATTAAAGCATATTAGTATTTCTGTTTTTGAGCTACCTGAAAGTACTAGACATTTACCTTTTTAAGTTCTACCTATATAATCAGTGCTAGTGTTCATTACTCATTTATAATATAAAACCTGCGCCAAAATCCAATTTTTGTGAACCTTGTCCTCACAAAACTTTCAACCTAATTGAGAATTCATCAAATGCAAAGTAAGATGGGGAGGGGAAAAAAAAAAAAAAAGAGAAGAAAACAATAACAATCTGTTGGTGTGCCTCAATTATGCTAAGACTATACGAAACTCCTTAAACCTTCATTAAAAATGTCCTTTCAAGTTGACTTTCAAAAGAAGCCAGATTTTTCTGTATATCCGTATCAATCAAGTATTAACTCAGCTGAAGACAACAGCATTACACTGATTTTATGATAGTTTAACTAATAAACAAACAAATAAATCTAGAATGAGCTTTTAGTCTTAGAAAAGTCAGAGTTGACCACCACTTCAAAGCATTTGTACTCCAGGATTTCCATTTGAAAGGAAAACGTTACCTAGCAGAGGCTGACAAATACGTTTCTGCTTAGAAATTTCAATCTTTGTCTATGACTCTCTAATAAAATTAATAGAGAATTCATTCAAATAACAGCATGTATCCTCCTTGCTGAAATATTGATTTTTAGCCCCAGTGAGGCCATATAAATTAGCATACTTCCACCATAAAATGATGGAAATAAAAGCTGCCAGACTTATAACGAACTGTCAGTGGATCACATGCACAACATCCAGATTCTGTCTGAACAAGAAAATTAAGTGCCTTTTTATTCAAATTACCTCAGTTTAACATAAAGCCTCTTATTAGGTGTTTTAAAAAAACTCAGAAAAATCTTTTCATGCAGAACTAATTTCAGGAATACTGAAGCAAGTGTGAACAGAAACTTTGCTCTTATGATTGACTGGATGAAAGATACGTGTTAACTTTTAGATATATCTTTTTAATCTGTAGGAAACGGTTTATACTAACCAGTAACCTATGTACATTTTCAGAAGCTGAGTACCATGGCTTCACCTCTCAACCAGTCTGACTGCTGAGGGAGACAGAAGGAAGTAGAGTGCAACGGTGTTCCATCCCTGAGGTAATATTAGAATAATTAATCACAGAGCAGTGGGCAGTACACACACACAGTAGAAAGTCACAAAGTCTTGCAAAAAAAATATGTAAAGAGACAGTTACTAAAAAAAAAGTCAACATTAGTCCCAGAGAGAAGCAATTCTACCTTACAGGTAAACAATGCTTCTAAAATAAATAGTCCCACTCCAAAAAACGATTAAGACTGATGTTTCCTGCAAAAATGATTATTAAGTAGGCTGATGTTTCCTCCACACTTTGTAAAAACTGCATAAACAAATCTCACCAAGAGACTAGTGTTTATGTGATGTTTTGAAGAAACTACCAAGTGGAAGTTACAAATTTTGAATATTGTCCAGTCAGTTCTTATGAAATTTGCACTGCTATGTACATCAGAAAATTAACTCAAGTCATATGAATTGATAAATGTTATTTTAATGTATGAAATGTGATTCTGCTAGCATGTAAGGACCTTGTGTGCATCTCCCCCCTGTCCTGGAGGTTTGGGTGCCTGGACTTCGGAACAACTTAAGGACAGTACAGCTCATGGCCTTTATGGCTCATCCTCTTTCAATCTAGAAGTACCAGCAAGGGCCTGGCCCTCCTTTGCCAGAAACCTGCTTTTATGTGAAGCTTCTTGCCGTTGGCCCCTACCTGGCCAATGTTGCAGCCATACCCATACCTGGAACAAACCCCCTCAGCTCAAGATCCTGACCACACGCTCAGTTTCTTGGTTTGACTCCAGACCTGCTTCGCCACCAAAGCCCTGACCTGAAGGGCAGCCACAGCCCTCTTGGCCTGCCTGGCTTGGCTACTGAGGCACTGTGCCCTGGCCAGGCTCAGGCTCTACCTGTCTTCTTGATTCCTGACTCGCCTTGCAGCTCCTTGGTGCTGTGTATGAGCCAAACCATCAGTTTTCATAGCTAACATTTGCAAAGTCCTTCCAACTCTGAAGTTCTATTTCTGGACTAATTAATTACATACACGCAGAGATCGGGAAAGAGAAATTGTGTCCTTTTTGAACACAGGTTTGTACCTACTTCCTCCTGTGACTCAAGAGATCAGTAGATGTCCTTTTAGCCATTTGACTGTTGCATCTTTCTTTGAACTTTTAGTGCTACTTTCTCCTCTTTACTTCTACTTCCTACAATATACATTTAAAAATTCTTTTCTAGAAAAATTTTGCTAAACAAAAAGATGTTTAGCACATTTCTGAGACTACTTTTTCACTTCTCTTTTCCGTGATTAAGTCTGTGCTGAAATATGTGCCTGTATTTTCTCTGACTCTACAAAGAGTGAGACTGCTTTTTATAATCCCTTTTTAGAGCTGCGCTAACTGCACTATGTTGCAGTATCAGCTCCTTACTGGGGAAAAGAAAAAAAAAGAAGAAAAAAAACCAACATCACCACCACACACACCTGAAGAACATCTATATAAATTAAACCCTAGTATCCTGTGCTTTGCCATACAATGGTCCTGATTCAGTAAATTGAAAGAATATAAGTTGAACTCAGAACCTGTTAGGCTGTCAGCGTCCTTTGGCTGAAGCTATACAGACAGCTATGCTGTGAGGGCTGTAGGCAGCTCCCTACTTAGCTTGGTTCAGTATGAAACATTCCTGAATCCTGTTTCAGGTTTCACTTGCAACTTACAGTTCTTTGTGTGGAGGCTTATCATTCGAGATTTCTACTTCTTATTGTAAGCTAATGATAAGCTACAGCTGACACTAACTTGCTCAGAGCCACAGAGACTGACTGGTGATAAGCAAATGACACTCCCATAAGTTATTTATGATGATACTTAAACTGTACACACTTACGCATTCAGGGGTCCTGGAAGAAAAAATAAACAAAACATGTTTATCTTAATGTCTTAGATGACCCCGATTTGTGAAAGTAAACTGACACATTATAGTAAGAAATTTGGAGCTCAAACGATCTCTTGTATTTTGTAACATAACCATGATCCTTCCCAGAATACCTTCTTTCAGGCTCTTTTTTTGATAGAGCTTTGTTCCACTCCCCTCATTCAGTAGGTTCTGTAAGTAGCCACTTTTTCTTTCACTTATACTTATCTATTTTAAAAGTTATCAAATAAAATAGAACTTCTGTTTTGAGCTTGTGATGTTTCTTTTTCCCCTTTTCCTTTTCCTCTCCCCCTCCTTTATTCCTTCCCACATCTCATCCATAGCATTCATAGTGTTTTAATGCACCCACCAGTCTCCTTTCTAACACCAAGAATAACTTATTTATCTAGAGACACAGGTGTTTAACATTTAAAGTTAGGTCAGTACAGAAAAATGTTTGCAGTATTGTTTGATATCAAAGTGGCTCCCTGCTAAGAGGCTCTTTTGCAGAACAGAGCTCTGCATCCATTTTTCTGTTGTTGGCCTTCACTATATATTTGTGGGGGTGGGGAGGGAAGTACCCCTACACCTATAGGCATAGAATGAAAAGTCTAAAGTGACCAGGAACCAGTCTAGAAGAAGAAAGGCCTTCATTGCATTGAGTCAAGAGTTTTATCAATGACTAGCACTGTTTGTGAAGTGAAAGCGTTCAACTTCTTACAAGTCTTTGTTTCCAATACAAAAAAATTAGCTATATAAAGATCTGCTTTTTTATACAACCAGCTAATCAAATAGTGACCAGTGGGAGAAAGACACCATCATCCATCTGAGAAAGATCACAAAGATCTAAGAGGCTGTGGGAGAAAAAGATGGGAGGAAGATTAAGTGATATTTCCTCTTATTTATGGACTGGGATTATTCACTGCTGAACTTGCATTATTACTGTATGAAACCATGTTCAATGTCCTGGGACATACCAGGAAAAATACTGGCTCCCGACGACTCTGAATTTGAGCTTCTGAATTCTGACATCTAGCTACTTTGAATTCAAAATGGGTTGCCAGCTTCCCTTCCTCTTTGAGAAATAAAATAATCTTTGGAAGAAAAGCAGCTACTGTGATCTGTAGGAAGTACTTCTGTAGCTCCCAGGGACTTCTGAATCTAGGCAGACACCTATGAAAAGGTACCTGAAGGAAAACAGGGACTGATCATAGTGACTCAGCATCAACATTATATGTATTTCACAGCCACCACCAAAGCCACGAGCCACAACTCAGAATCCAGTGGTATTAAGAAATGTGTCAACAGGGTCCC